GGCCGCCGGCTCCCGCGACCGCCGCCCCTGCCCGTCAACGGCGCCGCAGCCAGGTGCACCGCCGTCAGGTACGCCCTCGCCAGGTTCTCCCGTTCTCCCTCCCTGGGCACCCTCCCCCTCCCCCTCCCGGAACCTCGCGGCCGCTCCGCGCCCGGCCCTTTCCCCTTTGGACCTGTGGCCGGGCGGGACTCGCTTGTGCCCGGCTGCACGACCACCGCCCCCTGCCGTGCGTCCTTACACTCCAACAATTCGCCCCGCACTCCCAGCCCTGACCCGGCCCCGAAGCCCAGTCTGGTTCAGGGGCTCCAAGGCTGCGGTGTGTTGGAGGAGTCTGAGTGGAACTCACTCTTCCTCTCTCTCCCAGGTGCCCTGGACGCGCCAGGCTGGGGCCGCCGCCTCCGAGCGCCCCGCAGGGGCCATGGATGTCGAGACAGCAGAGGAACAGGGGGGCCCTGTACCCGCGCCAGCCGCACCCGGCGGACCTTGCCCAGCCGGCGCTCCTGCCCTCGGCGGGCGGCGCGAGCCCAAGAAGCACGCAGTGACAGATGACTACCAGTTGTCCAAGCAGGTGCTGGGCTTGGGTGTGAATGGCAAGGTGCTGGAATGCTTCCACAGGCGCTCTGGGCAGAAGTGTGCCCTGAAGGTCAGTGACCCTCAGTGCTGCGTAGGTGACTTGGAGGGCCCAACAGCAGAGGCCTGTGGGTACAGGAAATGCCCAGGGCCCCTGTTAATCTTACTCTCAGCAGCACTTTTCATCCTCAAACTTCCCTGTAAAGTCAGGTCCTTCTTCCTTTAGAGACGGGGAAACTGAGGCTTAGCCTAGCTAAGCCCATGGTGTCCCAGGGAGCAGGGGGTGGAGTCAGTATGAGTAGAGCCTGCTGCACCCGGAAGTAGGGAAAGAGTGGCTCCTGATTCTGGGTTTCTGGCTGGGCTTATGTTTTTGGGCCCAAGGAGGACCTTCACTCAGCTTGGCTGTTCCTTCCATGAAAAGCTCTTCTGACTGAAATGGGTTTGAGTTTCTTTCTGCCTGTGACGGAGTCCCCATGAAAGCTTGAGGTGGGGCTACATTCTCCTGTGGCCCCTGCCTGCCTGGCTGCAGTGGTGGGAGCCTCTTAGGGCTGGCTGGTGGGCAAGGCTGATGCCCATCACACCTGTGGGCAGGAAGGTGCTGATGGGCTCTAGCTGAGTCACCAGACCCGTGTTGAAAGGGGCCGGCCCTGTTTCAAGTCTGACCCACCCTGTTTCCTGGACAGAGGGCGGGCCAGCCATCTAGCCACGTCATGCCACTGTAGGCCTGGCTAAGACCTCACTGATACAGGTGGAATCCAGGCAGTCCTGGGGGTGGCTGATCTAGCCACATAGTTCTGGGCCCAGGACCCTGCCCCATACCCAGAATCCCTTGAATCTGTCATCACTGGAAACTTTACTTAATTGCAGTTTGTGCCAGTGGCCACTTGGGTGGGTAGAGCATGGCAAGGAGAGTGGCTCCTGGAGGTTAGACTACAGCAAGGATCTTCTTATTTTATAGTCATTGCAATCATGAGCCTGAGCACAGAGTCCTGCAGATGTAGCTCTAATCTTTGGCCTGTATTTGCCAGCTCCATGACCTTGGACTAGCTCTTTGGACTCTTGAAACCAGGTTTCTGCCTCTCTGCAAGGGTTGATAAGATAAGGAGTTGATGTGAGCTTGGGATGAAATGATGCATGTAGAGTAATTGGTAAAGAGACTGGAGCAGCTCTGGAGAGGCTACAGGACTTATTTAGCATGCAGGGTTTGCAAGTGTCTGAGCAGGGGCCTGGGCCTAACTCTCTGCCTTCCCCAGTGGCACTAGGACTAATAGTCGTCTCCCCAGGGTGATCTTGGAAGGGATCATGAGAATGGGTCTTGAGGATGCTCAGGGCTGGGCCAGTGGGGCTAGGTCTCAGGCACAGCTTCTTGGCTTACTAACTCAGCAGTGGAGTGGGGTTAGGGGGCCCTTTTGGAGCCCCAGGCAGGGGATTCTCTGAGTCCTTCAGTGAAAAGGTGGCTCTTCTGAGGGGAGATGGGGGTAATGGGGTGAGAAGTGAGAATCTCCACCCTTTTCCTCAGCACTGTCTTAGCCCTTTCAGCCCTGCTAGGGTCAGGGGGCAGTCTGGGTAGACAAGAGTTTGACTGAGGCCAGAGTACCTCTTAATACTGAGGCTTTGGCCCTGTGAGCCAGGACTGAGTTCTGACCAGCCCCTGTGGTACTCCAGATGCTGTGAGGGAGGAATGGAGAGTGTGAGTGGCTAGAGATCATGGGCCCAGGCAGCGCTGGCTTTAAGCAGGACTGGGTCTAGGCCCTTCCCCATAGGTGCTGTGCCTAACAAGTAACTTGGGGGAACTTGTGACTGCAACAACTTCCAAGGCATCTCCTCTTGAATCTAGGGCCTCAGTGCTCTCTGTTCTGGGCTGAGAACTGGGACAGGCTTACAGTACCCCTTAAGGCTTCAGGGGGTGAGTGTGACTAGGGCTACTGGCTTGAGACCTTCAGGACCTGACCCTAGGTTGGCCCTCCAGGGGGACATGGATTAGATGTGGACCCCACCCCAGCACCTTCCTGTTCTTGCCAACTCCCACCCTCTCCAGTGACCAAGCCTAAAAGTCCGTACCCTACTGGGCAGGTTCACTCCATCTTTCAAGATGGGACAAACACAGCCTGAAGCACATTGTACCTATACTGTGAGTGATGGCTCTGCTTTGAGGAGGGAGGGGACACCTTTCTGCTTATAGCCTCTGCTCCCTACCCAGGAGGCCCAGGACAGGGGGACCTCAGCACATGGGCAGGCCTGGGCCCCAGGAGCTCAGCCAGCCTGTGGATGGGTCTCAGCCTTCTCTCTGCCTCTACCTAGCCCCTTCTCCAGTTGCTCCAGGTCAGCCTAGGTAGAGGCCCTGGGCTCTGTGTCTCTCAGCTTCCCCAGACCATCCCAGGTTCCCAGGCTGGCCTGTCCTTGTCCTGTAGCCTGGATTTGTCTAGCCCACTCCTTCCTGGTGGTCCAGGTCTAGCATCTTGATCGCTCTCTATGCCCATCCTCCTGGTCCTGTTGCTCAAGGTGGAAGATAGTGCTTAGTATGAAGCCTGAAACAGAGCAGGCGCTCATAAAGCAGGAAGAGCTGTGGTCGCTGTCCCTGTAGCTGTTGCTGCTCTTTGGGGGCCCTAGAGAAGTAGACTTCTCCTTCTTGGGGAGCTGGGCCTCTTCCCCTTTCCCTCAGCCCCTGATCACTGGCTTGGTCTATCTTGGCCTCATTCACACTCAGCGGCTCCCTCCCAAGGCCAGTTTCCGCCACCAGTGCTGTCAGTCCACTCTCCATTCCACCCTTAGCACTTGCTGCTGTCCCTTTGGCAGGAACTGGAGGTCTGCTTGCCAAGTATCCAGGGCAGGGGACTGCCTCCTACTGACCTCTTGCTTGTGACCCCTTCCAGTCCTAACTGGTTAATTGACACCCCTTAGCTTCACTCCTAACTGGACACAGGTCTGCCCATCTGTCCCCCATCAGTCACCCCATCATAGCTGAGACCCAGCCCCTCAATCCTTATCCCATATATGAAAATTGGGACCTGAAGTTAGTGGTCGGAAGTCACATGGCTTGACTGGGAGGGCGGATTATAGCAGAGGCCAGAATCCTCTTCCCTCCTGACTTCCTGCCAAGCCCACTTGTGGTCCTCAGCCTCTTGGCAGGCAGAAGTGACTTAGATAAATAAAAACAATAAAAGAGGGGTTCTGCACATGGAGGAGAGATGGAGTCTTCTTTCTGCCCCTGCTCTCTGGGCTCTGGGTCCACTGGAGCCTGTTGGAGGCCCCCAGGGCTCCCAGTGCCCTCCTCTTACTGTCTTTGTGGAGTGGAGTGGTGGGGTGCCAGATCCCCATGCTCAGGAAATCCCTGCATTGCTCCACAGGTGGGGCTGGCCTGTTGGAGCTGGTGCTGTAGAGCTGGATTTGAGGCTGGGTGGGGCTGCCAGGACAGCCAGGTACTTTCATCTGGCAGCTGCCACTCCTTCACCTGCCATCTCCAGACCGGTCAGATCAGCCTCTGCGGGGCCTCTTGTTTACTGAGTCAACAAATCAGGAAGCATGTGAAGGGCTGGCAGCCCTGTACAGTGGGGTCTGGAGTCTGCAGTAGTGGTTTCACTGCAACTGAGCATCTCCGCAGGCTGCCCATCTCCTGGAAGGAAAGGCTCTGAGGAGGTCAAGCACTACCACACTCAAGTGGAGCCTTTGGAACTGCCAGGAGTAGGCCATTTGCTTTTTAAATGAACATCCTAAGGAGGGCATCAAACCCTATGAAATGCCAATAGTGGGTTTTCCACGGAGGTGGGTTGTTTTGAGATGCTTCACACCCTGCCCAGCCGGCCTTGGTCACAGCTTTAGAAGCTGTGCTCCTGGCTACTGTTGGGATTCCCTCTGCTGGGACTCCCAGAACCTTCTTCCCTTTCCACCCAGGAAGTGACACCATCTGTCCAGGTGTCAGGCCTTGGGGTTGTGGATTCTAATATTCTTGTAAATAGCTAACAGTTTTCCAGAGTGTTCTGTCTGGCTGACCCTGTTCTCAGTGT